TTACTTTTAAATGATTTAACTACATTCTCTCTTTCTTCCAAAGAAATTTCCTCCTTCAGTCTTAATCTATCACTTTCTTCGATTTTAAACCCCAAACCTTCCCTACTAGTATTTTTATTTTCTTCTTTATATAAAGATTGATAGAATTCTGCCAATTCTTTCCTTATTTCTCTAGAGCTTTGTGTAAGTATTTTCCTTCTGGTCTTAATGGCCTTCACCCTCTGTTTATCCCTTCTTTTCTTTAAATAGTTTGCCAATCTCTTATATGATCCTATTGAGGTTCTCTGAAAATCATTTTTGATCATATTATCTCTCTTCCACACCGCAACTATATCCAACTCATCCAATTCCTGTTTTAACTTTCTTAACTGCTCCTGTCTGCTCATTAGAAATTTAGCCTGTTGCTGTTGTTGCAAAATTTCAATCTCTTTAATTTTTTCCTGTCTCCCCGAGTACCAATCCTTCTTAATCGCAATCTCTTTCAGTATACAATGTCCTCTTATAACAGCTTTAAAAGCGTCCCATACTACCAGGATCTCGGCCGAACCATTGTTCTCTTTAAAATACCAACCAATTTGTTTTCTGATATATTCCCTGTCAATCTCTTTTGCCATTATTAGGTTATTGTACCGCCATCTCCTGCTTTTTCCATCCTCTTCCAGTCCCAGCTCCACAAATAGTGGAGCATGGTCTGAAATCCATATTCCCATAGTCTTTGCTGTTCTAACACTGATTTCATTCCTTTCTTTAATTAGCACGTAGTCAATATAAGACAAAGTCTTACGTCTGTTGGAGAAGAAGGTAGGTTTGGTGTTGGGGTTTCCCCTCTCAAAAACATCCTTTAATCCCCATTTAGATAATCTGAAAGTACTATCGTCCTTTATATTCCAATTAAAGTCTGCTGTAACGATAACTTCCCCTTCAGCGTAAAGCGGCAGTTTATTCAAGGTTTTCTTTATAATTTTTTTCTGTCTTGTGTTAGGTTTGTATATATTAGCTATTGTAAAGATTTTTTTGTGACACTTTAATTTTTAAGAATATAAATCTACCATAATTATCCTTTTTCCGGCTCAGAACCTCCGGCCTAAGATTGCATTGCATAGTATAGCGACCCCTTTAGCCTTATTTGTCGCTTTCGATTCTGCTATTCGGCCCCATTGCTGAGAGCATAACAAAGGTCTATTGTTTGCTTTGGCTGTATGTGTCTCCTGAAGGCATAGTATATCCACTTTCATTTTCTTTGCCAGTGTCAGTACCCTGTAGTGTTTGATGTTTGAGGCCAGCCTGTTAACATTTAAAGATAAAACCTTTAAAGATCTATCCATTATCCCGACTACTGTTTATTTTTTGAATCCCTCTGTGTACATATATTATATTTTCAATTCTAGCCCATTCAACCCCCCTCCCCCTTCTCCCCTGAGACTCAGTTAGGGATCTCCATGATCCCTGTCTCATGGTATCTTGGGGAACCACACTCCCCTCCCTTCGCTCTTGGAAAGTTTATATCAGAAAATATATATATATGTATTTACAAAAGCCCATTTTAGATGTCTCTAGTATATATTATTTTTTTCTGTTTCCTTCCCCTCTCGACTTCCGTCTTCTTTTATTCTCTTGTCCCTGCACTGGAGATTCTTGAGATTCTTCACTCGACTCTCCCTGTAATTCTTCCAAACTTGAGAGTTCTTTCTCATTCTGTCCTTGTATTCCAACTCCTAAATCAGCTAGCATTTTTTTTTGCTTCACCAGGGTTCTTAGCGGAATATTTCCTGCCATCTCTAAAAACCAGCAATGTAGCAGGGTAGGCCCAAGTAAAGAGGATTTTATGATTGTAGAGAGCTTGTGCAAACTGCTGCATACGTTTCCTGTCTTGAAGCGTTTCCTGAGAAAAGTCTTGTCTCACTATGACCTTTCGCTGTTTAAACTGCACGTCTGCTTTCTGCCGTAGTGATTTATAAATTTGCTCTCTTAACTTCTCTCTTGTGAATGCCATGATTACATCCCTGGGAAGTCCAGAGCCTCCTCGTGGTGTGAACACCCAGTGCACTCTCTCAATTTCATTCGGCTCAATTTCAATTCCTTGTTCTTTGAGCCATTCTAAAATCTCCTTTTCCAGGTCCTTATTCCCAATATCTTCAGAAATACCAGAGAATTTTAAATTCCTTCTGCGCTGTCTGTCGTTCATTTGTGAAATTCTTTTTGTCAGAGATTCTATTTTGTTTATGTTTGCATCATTCTCAAGTCTTTCTCAAATAAATAGATAAACCACCGTTTTAAACACTAACTCACCCCAATCCAGGACTTGGACCTGAGCCCTGTTTTCAGTGAGTTATCTCAGCTATCAGTTTGCAGAGAGTTATTTGCTTTTCAGGCTTTTAATTAGTGAAGTTCCAAGAGTGAGACGGGTGTGCATCTACCCACGCTGATGCATGTGCAGTTCTCCTGCCAAATTGATTCTCATGGGAAACTTGCAAGCAGGATCTGATCCCTCTTCCCTCCCATGGCTTCCAGCAACCAGTATCCAGAAGCATTACTGCTTCCAGCTGTGTAGGCAGAGCACAGCCTTCCTGGCTCATAGCCATCAATAGCCCTCTCCTCCTCAGTTCATTTGTCTAATCCTCTTTTCAAGCCATCTAGGTCAGTGGCCATTGCTGCCTCCTGTGAGAAGGCGTTCCATATTTGGCAGTATGGATTTATTTTATCTGCCCTGAATCTTGCAGCATTTGGCCTCCTTGGATGTCCGCAAGTTCTAGCATGTCAAGATTGCAGATGTCCCTCTCACACCAAGAACGCAGTAAGCTGGCAGTTGAATTGGGCTTAGATTTATTAGTATTTACACAGTAGTTTCCATCTGAGCTCACAGCTCAATCATCTACCAAAGAACGACGTTGAGCTCACTAAAGGGCGGGTTCTCCTCCAACAGGATATCCTCCATTGGCTGCCCCTCCTCCTGTCGGACTGACGCCAGACCTGGACCCTACTCCTTTGCCATGTCTGTGGTTTGTCCACCCCCCTCTGGAGCCATCTCCACCCCCCTCGGAGCAATGTCTAAAGGCTGCAGCTCCTCTGAAACTGCCTCTGTCTGCCCTACGCTATATTGGGAATTGCATTCCAGGATGGGAGAGGCTTGCATCACTCTCTGTATGGGAAGGAAGCAAGCCTCTCTTTTCCCCAGCCTGCCTCCCCCTCTTTGGAGTCCTTGCTGTCACTCTAGAAAGGGACATTCCTGACATAGCGTTATGAGAAAGGGAGACAAACAGCTGATTGCCAGTTCATTTCCAGACCTAATTCCTGCCTCCTGTGGGAGCGAGTTCCATGATTTGACTATGTGCTGCATCAAGAAATACTTTTTCTCCGTCCTGTCCTGTTGTGCTGTACGTGGGGCTCCCCTTGAAGACAGCTCAGATGAAACGTTAGTCCATGATCTCCTAATTATAGGTACTGAGATTCCAAAGATCAGAAAAGACTTTTTTTTGTACACGACAACAGCTGCACAGATGTTACTAGCTCAAAGATGGAAGGAAGAAACAATCCCAACCAGAGAAGAAAGGAAGGCCAAGCGGCTAAACTAGGCCAAAATGGCAAAACTCAGGAGGCTCAGGAACCAAGAGGACAAGAACTTTAAAAATAATGGGAAAATTTCATAATTTACTTAGGAGACCATTGTAAGCAAATCGCTATGGACAATCTAGAAGGTAAAAAAAAAAGTGGTATGCAGTTGTAAACACTGTCATTAGGACCCACTTAGGGGAAGGGGAGGTGAGAGTCTGGAGATTTAGAGAATCTCTGTAAATGGATGTATAAACAATTTTGTTATAAATTTGTATTTGTAAAAGCAAATAAAAAATATTTTCTTTCTTTTTTAAAAAAAGTATTTACTTTAGCCACATCTGGAAATGTGTAGAGTGAACGTTGGTTTGTGTTGTTACTTTATTACACAGCATTTTTAGTTCTGCTTCAGCATATTAAGCTTTTGAGCACGCTTTGCATAAATGATAGTTAATATTTTGCCCTGACAAAAGAACGTTTTGCCAGCGTTTGGGTGGCCACCAGTCAAGGATTCTTTAGCTGTAGTGCAGGGGCTTGGACTCAATGGCCCTTGGGGACCTTTAAAACCCTACAATTGTAAGATTGTCGCTTTGAGCCCTTGATGTTCTGATTACCTAAACCTCTCACATTAAGAGTTGTACACATAACATTCACATTCTTTATTATGTCTTTCCCAACCATCTCACTTCTCCTTTTCCCTCCTTTTGTACCATTCCTGCCTGGAGATAAATCCATCCCCACCTTCCCTCCCAAATAACCCTATTGTGAGCCCTGTTCTCCCACCCCCACAAAAAAGTCCAGGCAAAAACACAAGAAAATATCTGTGTGCCGCAACTCTTGAACCCCGGGTACAAACCAATAAGCTTCCATACATCCTCACATTTATTTTTCCAATTACTCTTCTCTGTTTAATCATCACTTCCAAACCATCCATCTCCACCCACCTTCCACACATCATAACTCCCCTTACCATCCCAAACAACACAACACACAAACAACTTTCCACACTCACTCATCCAACCAACCAACATATACTCCCATATGGGGGGGGGGTAAGTTGGGAGGGAGCTTGCAAGTTCCCCTAGTCTGAAAAAGAAAAAAACAGCCCCATCGAGCCACCCCGGTACTCTTTCTTTCTTCCTGCCTTCCTTCTTCATCTTCACTTCTTATATTTAACTCTGTCTCTAAGATGCCATGACTTTTTCTCATTCTTGCTTTCCTTCTTCTTCTGCCACCCCTGAGCTTGTTTGCTTTCTTCTCTTAAGTCATTTTCTTCTTCTTCCAAGTCTGGAGTCCCCTTAAAGTCCTTTGGCAACTGCAATCCCACATGTTTAAATAACGCCACCATCTGCCGTTGATCTTTTGCAAACAATCTCTCTCCTTTATACTGCATTCTTAAAGCAAATCGTGCCATTCTCCAATTGTATTTCATATCTTTTTCTTGCAGCACCATGGTAGACACCCGTAAATTCTTTTTCCTTTTAATTGTTTCCAAAGATAAGTCCTCAAAAACCATCACTTTCTTGCCATTGTACAACAGTTTATCAAGTCTATCTAAGTCTTTCAGTGCCTTGAATACCTGCTTTCTCTGTTTATATCTCCCACAGCACATTACCACGTCTCTCAGCCAACTTGACTCATTTCTCAGCTTCCCAACCCTATGTATGCGGTTGAGCGAGTCTTTCAAAATTCCCAATTCAGGCAGCAAATTGGCCATCCACTCAATCACTTTCTCCATATTTGGAAAAATTTTAGACGTAAATTTGACCTTCTGGCTCTATTTTCTAAGTCCATTAATTTATCATTAACATACTTATTGTGTCTCTTCAGTTTCCTAGTCTGCTCTTGCAATGCATTCATTTTTTTCTCATTGGCCTGTGCCATTTGATTCTATGATTCTATGATTCCCATGCAGCATTTACATTTTCTGCCAACCGTTCTACTGTCTCGGCCAATTTAGAGAGTTTATCTTCTACTATTTTTGTAACAGCCTTGGTAATACTGTTCTTTGCTTCTTCTATGGCTTTTAAAATTTCTTTTTGAAAAGCTTTAGGCTTAATAACCTCTGTTTTGGTCTCCACCTCCAAATCTGAAGCTGCCATACTTTCACTCCCAAACAATGCACTTAAGAATAAATCTTTCTCATACTCCCACTTTATCTGCCTTCAAAGTGTTTCCTCCAGCAATTATGCAGACTAGGTCATAAACTTTCTTGGGCTTGTTATTTTCCAGCTTTTTCATCAGAAGGAAGGCATTTCTTTATAATTTTCTCCACATTTCACCAGGAGTTCAGCTGAGACACCTCTTCTCCTTCAGCCGAGCACCAGCATCTTAAGCTTTTAAGCACACTTTTCATAAATGATAGTTAATATTTTGCCCTGACAAAAGAACGTTTTGCCAGAGTTTGGGTGGCCACCAGTCAAGGATTCTTTAGCTGCAGTGCAGGGGATTGGACTAGATGACCCTTGGGGGCCTTTAAAACCCTACAATTGCACGATTCCAGCTTGTCGCTTTGAGCCCTTGATGCTCTGTATCTAGTAAGGGGAGGATTGTCACTTTGCATTCATGATATGTCCTCTTGATGCTTTTAGGCAAACATAAGTACCTCTGTGCCAGCCGAAATGACTGCAACATTGACAAGCTCCGAAGGAAAAACTGCCCCTCCTGCCGCCTTCGGAAATGCTATGAGGCCGGGATGACTCTCGGAGGTAATCCAGTTTCTGTTTACAACCCTTTGATTTTTGCAGCATACCTGATTTGCAGGGCCAGATTTAGATGAAGAGTGGCCCTTGGCTACTTGTAAGGCCCCTCCCAATCCCCCTCCATCACGACTGGAAGAAAATGGAAGAGTGTTATAAACCAACTTGAGCAAAGCCAAGGATGATGATAGGTTTTTAAAATTCTGCAATTCACAATTTCTCCTCTAAAGGACATAAGATGTTATTGCTAAATACCATGGTGATTTTAAAAAGGCAGAAATGTTAAAATTAACGCTGAAAAACATTTGCAATAACTGAACTTTGTAAACCTTTTGTGGAATAAGCATTAATTTTTAGGAAAATGAAGTTCTTTTAAAAAAACCTTCTTTTAAAAAAAACCTTGAGTTTACAAATTATATTGCCTGGGAAGTGTGACACTTTTAGAATCTACTTTATGTTGTCATTAAACAGTCAGTTTTAAAATACATATTAAGAAGTAAACTACAACCATCAAATACAGTAAGACTAAATCCCTCCCCCCAGCCTTCCTCATGGTAAAATCATCCAAAACTTCATCAAAATTTGTTTGTCTAAGTTTGTCACTTTCAATGTACAGAATCCTCAGTGCGGACAACCTCTCCTGAGACATTGTGGTCCTTAATTCATTTTTAATTCTTTTGAGTCTTGAAAAACTCCTCTCTCCCAAGCTAAGAAATAGCCACAAGATTGCTTCCACATTAGGAAAGGCCATCTGAATTTTTTCCTTGTGTATAATTTGATAAAGGTCTGTATGAGACAGAGAGGGCTCTGCTGTAAGCCTATGGCTTTGTGCCACATATAGGTGAAAGTGCAAAAGTTCATCAATAAGGTTCAGGTCAATATCTTCTGGGGATGCTTCCATCAACCTTGCTAAATTTCTCACTTAGATGCTGTCAGATTAGCAAGAAAACAATTGTGCAACATCACTGTAGAAAGTACTTCTTTTTAGATTGGCTTCAAGTGCATCTAATATAGGAATAAAGGATCAAATCAAATATCTTTAATATGGTCAGTGACCAGAAAGCAATGTATAAAATATGACATTAAAAGTAGTATTGTACTACAAGTAACAGTAAAAATATGGCCAATTCACAGAATTGGTGCTTATATTTATGACCAGATTTCGACTTTTAAGTTTTTAAAAATTCAATTCAGGAGTTGCTACTGTTTAATATCGTTTCTTCGATGTTTACAGTTTGAACTCCTTTGTAGACATCATTGCTCGTCTTATTCTTGTTGCAATGTAACAGTACTTTGCCACGGACCTGTTGATTTCGGGCTCTTTGTCAGCTAAGAGGTGTCTGATATAGGTGTCGTCTGTACTACGAGGTATTCTCCTCAGAATCTGTTCGATCAGCTCTTTTCTTGAGTCTCGGTATAATGGGCAGTATAAGATGACATGCCCAATGGTTTCGATTTCATTGCTGTTACAGGGACATAATCTTTGTTCGATCGGTATTTTGTTGTATCTTCCCTCTAGAAGAGCTGAAGGGAGAGCGTTAAAGCGGGCCCTGGAAAATGCCCATCGGTGTTTAGGGTTGTCTAGAACTTTGAGATAGTTTGCTAGGTGGGGCCTCTGGGAATTGTATAAAAGTTTATAAGTTATCGGAAGTTGGTTAAAGTCATTTTGGGTTTCAATGTCCCTGAGTCTTTCTTTGATTATGTTCTTGGCCCTTCCCCTTTCTAAACTTAATAAATACTCTGGGGAGAGACCATATGTGACCAGTTTTCTGCGAATGCCCTTCAACCAGCTAGATTGAAATTTGTCAAGAAGCATCAGGGAAAGTAGTCCAACCGGCGAGTTGTTAAGTCTTAGCCAAGTGCATAAGGTTCTTATCCATACTTTGGCTTTAATGCTGTATAAGCCCGCTTCCAGTCGTAGGGCGGCGTTTGGGACGCATTTAGGTGTTTGCAGGAGTGATCTAAGGAAACCTGATTGTATCTTCTCATATGGGTCTAGATTAGAGAGGGAGACGAGTGGTGCACCGTATAGGATTTGTGCTGTTGGTTTTGCAACGAATAGTTTGATTGTAGCAGGAATGAAATTTCCTCGCGTTGTACGATGGAATCTTAGGATTGCTGTTGTACTTTTTTGTGCTGTAAAGGAGCTGTAGTTTATGTGGGCAGTCTTCTTCCTTGATGCTTGGAATATCACTCCTAGATATTTAAAGCATGTCACTTGTTCAATCTCTTGATTGTCTAAATTCCATCTGTATATTTTCCTTTTGTTAGAGAAAACCATGATTTTTGTTTTTTGGTAGTTCACTGCTAGTTTCTCTTCTCTACAATATTGGGATAGGCTGTTAAGAGCTCTTTTGAGGCCCATCTGAGTCTGGGACAATATGACCGCATCGTCTGCATAGAGTAGGATAGGCAGTTTTTTGTCTGCTAATTTTGGGGCGTGTGTATCCGCTCCTTGTAGGTGGTCTATTAGGGAGTTTATATAGATGTTGAACAAAAAGGGGGCCAAAATGCATCCTTGTTTAACTCCCTTTGTTGTTCTAATGAAATTAGATAGTTGACCTTCTTGGCTGCATCTTATACGAAGTCGTGTGTTGTACATTTTGTATATTAGTAGCAGCAGACGTCGGTCTAGATAGATAAATTTATTGTCATTGTCCGTATATACACAGTATACACAACAACGAAAATCAAACACCCACCCAAAGACCGGGTTCACATACACATTTGCACGTATCTCCAACACTCTCATCCTATTCAGACATAATCTATAAAAACATAACATAATCCAGAATATAACATAACCTATTAAAGGCATAACATAACCTAAAACCTATCTCATTCCTTCCTACTCCCTGCTTGCTATTTCTTGCAACTGGCCCTGAGATCATTATTTAGTGCAATCAGAGCTCTTGGATAGAAACTATTCAGAAGGCGTGTGGTTCGTGTTTTCATTGTCCTATATCTTCTGCCCGAAGGCAACAGTTCAAAGAAGTTGTGAGCAGGATGGGTGGGATCTCTCAGGATATTGTGTGACTTCTTCAAAGTGCGAAGTCTATGGATGATTTGTTGAGTTTGTCCCAGAGTCGAGTTCTTGGGATGGAGTCAAAGGCTGCTTTAAAATCTACAAATGCTGCGAATAGGTGGTGATTGTGGTGCGACGTGTATTTCTCAGCTAGGTGCTGTAATATCAGGCAGTGATCCATTGTGGATCTCCCCTGTCTAAATCCTGCCTGTGCATCATCAAGAATCTTCGCTCTTTCTATCCATTCGCACAGTTTCTCGCTGAGGTGTTTAGCATATAATTTGCTTATTATATTCAGGAGGCTTATAGGTCTAAAGTTGGAGGGATCGTCCCTCGAGCCTTTTTTGTAAATGGGAATAATGATGGAAGTCCCCCAGTCGTATGGGATCTGTGCAGTTCTATCTATATATGTGAACAGAGAGGCTAGCAAGGGGGCCCACCAGTTCACATTGGTTTTAAATAGTTCCGCTGGTATACAGTCAATTCCGGGGGCTTTCCCGTTCTTTAGTTGGTCAATCAGCAGATGAGTCTCTGTTATTGAGACTGCTGGCCATGGCTGTATCTGATCATCCGGTATGTCTAATGCATAGGACTCATCACTAGATTCCTCGTAAAGATTATGGAAATGCGTTTCCCAGGCTTTCATTGATATGCAGCAGGATAGTTGTGATAGGCCCCTATCCGGCTGTACAGCTACGATTCTCCAGAATAATGATGGGTTACTTGATTTGGAGGCCTCTATCAGTTGCTGCCATAATAACTTCATTGCGTATCTTTTCTTTTGTGTCAGGAGTTTTTTGTAGCTTCTTTTGGCTTCAAGCATCTTTTGTCTGTTATCCTCTGTTGGATTATCCTTATGGCAGATGAAGGAGTGGATCAATGCTTTCTTGGCGGTTATGCACTCATGATCGAACCACTCCCTGGAAGATTTTCGATGGTGGGGAGACTTGGAATTCGGTTTTACAACAAACTCTTGAATTTTTTGTATAAGCATTTCATATGTTGTCATCATGTTCGGGGCGCTCTCCTCTATTTCTAAGCACCCTTCCATAATTGCTTTTGAGAGACGGTAGCTCTCCTCAGTTTTGTACCAGTTAGATATCCGCTCGCTCACTTGTCCATTCCATCTGATTTTCTTGAGGCCTGTTCCGGGTGTTAGATCTGGTTGATATCTGTGTTGTGGTTTGGGCAGATCAAAGGGTAAATCACACACGAGGGATAAAGGTAGATGATCGCTTTCAGCTCTTGCTGTAATGGTGAATTTTGATATCCTAGGGATCAGGTCCTGGGAAACAATGCAATAATCTATCGTTGACAGTTTGTGTCCTGACCAGTATGTGTATTGACCAGGATAATCTCCTTGTATAGCCCCATTCCCTACAGATTCTGTCTGTAGGCCATCTGTGCTAGATGTAGTCCTCCAATGTTGCATGTCTTATCGTAGGATGATCTTGTCATTAGGGGTGGGATAATTTCCATTTCTGGAGGCCATTGGTGAAAATGTGCGTATAGGGCGTTGTCGTTGGGGCCCACTCTTGCGTTTAGGTCACCAGCTAGTAATATCATGGCTGACGGGTGTTGTCTCCTCCATTGCACCACGTGGGCTTCCACTTCTTTCCATAGTTGTTCTACTTGTGCCTGCCGACGACATGTAGGTAAGTATAAGTTTATGCATAGCAGTTTGCTTTGTCCAAAATCTAAAACTGCTGCTACAGACCATTCATCAATGTAGGGTAATTGGATAATATTAGCTTGTATCTGCGTTGAGAACAGTAAGGCTAAACCTCCTTTGGGTCTGCCCCCTCTTTGACTAGGTGTTGCTCTTTTAGTACACGAGTGGTAATTATCCAGGTAGAGCTCGTCTATCGACCAGGTTTCCTGGATGAACAGGATGTCAAATTTAGTGAGGAAGTCCATTAGATTGGGATCTTTGCTTTTAGCTCCCCACCCTGCGATGTTCCACGTACAGGTGGTCAGCTTGTAA